ACCTCTCCCGCTGCGGAGCACAGGCTCCGGACGCGCAGGCTCAGCGGCCATGGCTCATGGGCCCAGCCGCTCCGCGACATGCGGGATCCTCCCAGACCAGGGCACGAACCCGCAACCCCTGCATCGGCAGGCGGACTCTCAACCACTGCGCCAGCAGGGAAGCCCCAGACCTACTTTTTAGCATATGATGGTTTCGGTGAACCTTGAAGCAGAGACTTGGCTGATTATGAGTCTCAGACATCAGTGACATTATCTTTGATCAGATTTAAGTCCCTTCCCTTCAGATGACAAAAGTGGTGTTTTCCTCGGCATGACACACCCTTAAAAAGTGTAACGTTTCCGGCACCCCTGGTAGAAGGATGAGGCCTCTCTCTGCTGGAGCTGATTCTGATCAGCCCTGGGGCTTCTGGTCCCCCTCACCTTGAGATAAGGGATCTGATACCCCACAACCTACCATAACCTATTTGTGATTACCAGATGGGAAGCTCTGTGGATGGCGGCCTCGGAAGATTCCCAGGACGGCCCTGTCCAATAGAACCTTCCACCAAGATGGAAGTGTTCTGTAACTGCACTGATAGGGTAACCACTGTCCACGTGTAGCCACTGAGCCCTTGAAATGTGACAGTGCAACTGAGGAGCTCGATTTTATTTCGTTTCGCTTAATTTACATCTAAGCAGTGGATTTGGGTTTTGTTGTCGTTGTTTTCATTTTTAGAAGAAACCATGGAGGGAATTCCCTGGCGGTCCAATGGTTAGGACTCTGCACTCTCACTGCCGAGGGCCAGGGTTCAATCCCTGGTTGGGGAACTAAGATCCCACAAGCTGTGTGGTTTGGCAAAAATAAATAATTAATTAATTTATTTATTTTTTAAAATACCCGCCCCCCCTCAAAAAAAGCCATGGATATTCCCCTCTGCCACGCAGTCTGATCCTTTTCGTGCCTTTGTTTTTGCAGCCTTCTGACAAGGAGATGTTCAGCCGTTCAGTTACCAGCCTGGCCACAGACGCGCCTGCCAGCAGCGAACCGAACGGGGCACTCACCAACGGTGACAGTAAGTTCTGCAGAAATACCAGCTATCCATGCAGGCCTCATCACCTGAGAAAGGGCTGGGTTTCAGAAAATGTGGCTCAAAAACTAGGAAATGTGTTTATTCTTGCTCACCTTTTGTATTACTACCAGTTTTAGCCAAAAAAATCTCATTTGGATGAAAAGTTAATATCTATGAATTGGCTTCTGTGCACCATTGTTCTAAGATTTGTATGTGTACTAACTCTTTTTTTTTTTTTTTTGCGGTACGTGGGCCTCTCACGTTGTGGCCTCTCCCGTCGCAGAGCACAGGCTCCGACGCACAGGCTCAGCAGCCATGGCTCATGGGCCCAGCCGCTCCGCGGCATGTGGGATCTTCCCGGACCGGGGCACGAACCCGCGTCCCCTGCATCGGCAGGCGGACTCTCAACCACTGCGCCACCAGGGAAGCCCTGTACTAACTCATTTTTGCTAACCCATTTATGCTAGCAACTATAAGATTACCATGACTAATATGACTGCCCTGTAAGGTAGGGATTATTACTCTTCACAATTTACAGATGAGGCAACTGAAACATTGCTGCTGCAACAAATTACCACAAACTTAGTGCCTTAGAAGAACACAGGTTTATTAACTTGGAGCTCTGGGGGTCAGAGTCTGAACTGGGTCTCCCTGGGCTAAAATCCAAGTATCAGCGGGGCTGCGTTTCTTCCCCAAGGCTCTAGGGAAGAATCTAGTTCCTTGCCCGCTTCCGCTGCTAGAAGCCTCCTGCATTCCTTGGTCCTGGACTTCCCTCCATCTTCAAGTCTCTCTCCAACTCTCCTGCCTCCATCTTTCACTGATAAGGACCCTCAGAATTACACCGCGCCCACCTGGATGCCCCAGTGTTCCTCCCCATCTCAAGGTCAGCTAACAGTTCATCAGTATCCTTAATTCCTCCCTTGCCGTGGAATGAAACACACAGAATCCAGGGAAGAGGACGTGGGTGCCTGAGCAGGGGGGTAGGGGGTGGGGGGCGGTGGGCATTATTCTGTCTGGAACAGAGAGGTTAATAACTTGCCTAAGATGTTATGGTCAGTGCTCTGAGGATCTATAATTTGAACCCTCGATCTGACTCCTGGGTACACCCTTAGGACCACTCTGCATGCTGCCTGTTTCACGCCCAGGATGTGCTTGCTGACCAAAGTCACAGCTACATTTCCACTCCCCAGTTTGCAGAGCGCTTTCACCTGGGGTAGCAAATCCTCCTCTTACCTCCATTTACAGACAAGGAAACTGTGGGACAGTCAGGATTGACACCGGAGGCTTCAAACTCCAGTGCCCGTTCTCCGTCCACCGTGACACAGACATCTAAATCCAGAGGGCAAAAGTTCACCCCTTCCTTGATGATCAAGTATTTAGAACACAGTGGGTAGTGATGGTAACTTCCAACGAGGGTTCCATTATCATTTTCCCGAGATACTCTTCAGGGACACTATTTCTAGTCCCCCTAAAGAGAAATAGTCTTTTTTTTTTCAGGATAAGAGGTGAGCACTTTATGTCTTCTTTCACTCATTTAGTTTTTCATGTAAAAACATAGTGGAGTCAACCATGCATTAGACACTGTTCTGGACTCCAGGGTCTTAGAGAATCCCAGTCTAGTCAGTAAAAACAAGTGCGTTAAAAACAGTAAGTTATAGGGCTTCCCTGGTGGCGCAGTGGTTGAGAATCTGCCTGCTAATGCAGGGGACACGGGTTCGAGCCCTGGTCTGGGAGGATCCCACATGCCCCAGAGCAGCTAGGCCTGTGAGCCACAACTACTGAGCCTGCGCGTCTGGAGCCTGTGCTCCGCAACAAGAGAGGCCGCGATAGTGAGAGGCCCGCGCACGGCGATGAAGAGTGGCCCCCACTTGCCACAGCTAGAGAAAGCCCTCGCACACAAACAAAGACCCAACACAGCCAAAAATAAATAAATATATAAATAAACTCCTACCCCCAACATCAAAAAAGAAAAACTAAGTTATAAACCCACACACAGATGTAAAGAATATGTACGATATATAAGGAATATATATATTATATAAAGTAAATATATATGAATATACCAGTACAAATACATGTTTAAGTATATATTTACTTTATATAATATATATATTATATACATACACTTATATGTATAAAGAATATATAGTATATAAAGAACATACAGTGGAGAGACAGTAATTTAATAACTGGCTCACTGCAGTGTAAGTACCCAAAGGGCAGGACTCATTGGACCTCACTGATGAATGATGTATCCCCAGCACTTCAACCATCCCTGGCACCTAGGAGGCACTCAAAAAACATTTGCTAAAGGGATGAGTGAATGGCTCCACGCAGTAACATTTCTGTATCAATCTAAGAATTTCAAATACGAATTTTCTAATTTGAGGTAAAAATGTTGGCACCGGGAGCCAGTAAGATGGAAGGAAGAGCTTTAAAAAGGCACAGGGTAGGCGGACCCTTTGGGATACTGCTTTGGGCACATTTTTGCCTCATTTTTTCCATTGTCTCTCAAACAAAGTGACCTGTGAAGGGGGATGGCTCCCAGGTATTCCCTCCACACAAGAGGAGGCCAGTAGGGCCGGGAGAGTGGCTGCCACACATGCCCCCCCCTTGGAGCCCAGCCTCCCACAGTTTGGCCCTGCGCAGTGTCACTTTCATCCTCTGGTCACTTTGGACACTGCCTACAAGGAGCCCATCAGGAGTAACAAAAAATACTGTATAACTGTGACCCAAATTGATAGCCAAGACAATTTATTAAATACTGTATTGGAAAGATGTAATGGATGGCTTGAGTTTACACTGTGATTGAAATAAGAATATCCACTAACAGTCAAAACATCTGTAATTTACAGCCTCAAGTCAAATAAAAAGCCAGCAGCTTGATTTCACCTAACTTGACATCATCTGATTCACTGTAATAATTATGTCAGAAATTGTCTTTCTCCACTTTTAATACTCCCACTGCTTTAGTTCTTTCAGAAGACAGCACCATGACCCGCATGCAGCATTACGAGGAAGTCCAGACCTCAGCTTCAGATCTGCTGGACTCCCAGGACAGCACAGGGAAGCCAAAATGTCATCAGAGCCGGGAGTTGCCCAGAATCCCTCCTGAGAGTGAAGTGGACACGATGGTCAATGGAGAAAGCGTGGACGGGGACCAGGGTCTGGGGATGGAGGGGCCGTATGAAGTGCTCAAGGACAGTGCCTCACAAGAAAATATGGTGGAGGACTGCTTGTATGAAACTGTGAAAGAAATTAAGGAGGTGACGGCCACCGCCCACTCAGCTGGAGGCCACAGCAGCAGGTCGAAGTCAACTTCCACTGTGAAAGAGCTTCCGGGGCCCCAGGCCAGTGGCAAAACAGACTTTGCCGAATATGCCTCTGTGGACAGAAACAAGAAGTGTCGACAAAGTGCTAATACAGAGAGTATTCTTGGAAATCCACGGGATCCAGAAGAGGAGGCGCCACCCCCTGTCCCCATTAAACTTCTGGATGAAAATGAAAACCTTCAGGAACAGGCAGAGAGTAAAGCGGGAGAAGAACGGGCCGCCGAGGGGACCAGTGAAAGCAACAAGGTGGGCTCCGGCGCATTGGTTTCAGAGCTTTTGTCACAACTGGGCGTCTAGCTGATCCTGGGGCTTTTGCTTGCACGTTGTTCTAAGGAATACATGCTAGCACCTTCACGTGCATTGAATGTTTTAGTGGAAGCTGTGTTTGACATTTTTTCCCCCCTCCAAGTAATAAAATACTGAAAGCTCGTATTTACAAAATATTTCGCTCTTGGCACCTTCCTTGGATAGCTTCCAGTTTTTGCATCATGTCTAATGGGGGCAAGTATTATTTTCTTCATTTTGAAGACCAAGAACTGGAAAGACGAGACCCTTTGCCACCCATTTAGCCTCTTCCACTTGTTACCACCCCAGGCAGTGGGGTGATCTCCCCCCTCCCAGGGTCCCAGAAATCAGAGCACAGGAACAGGCAGAGGGGACCAGTTCACAGGTGCCACTGGGCGTATCTGATTATGTATAGACTTTTATATGAATCAAGTAAGAGATTTTATTTTGTGACAATTTCTAAATAACAACCTGTAGCTCTTAAGTGTAACTATTCAACAGAGCTCTAAAATGTACTAACAATCCCCGAGCCTTCTCTGTGGGTGTCTCATAAGCTGATGTCTGAGCCACAGTAGCTTGGGATTCACATCTCTAGCTGTCAGCATTTCCTTGGGATTTAAACTAGGCCCTACCTTCTTTAGGCAACTGATATCTAATTTCCATTCTCTGAAGAGAAAAAAGTAGGGTTCTCTTCTCAAGTTTTGGTAGGAAGGCCAAGTAGGGACTAGTCAGTCAACAGTAGCCTTGAAAAACTTGCGGCGTTCATGATCAAAAGGGGAGGTCCGGCTAGGGTTATATAGCTTATACCAAGGAGTCATTCTGTGTAGTGTTCTCTGAATGCATTTCAACTTTTCGTTTTACCCGTAAAGTGAGCCACTGAGAGCCTCAGTAAAGTATTTATGAATATATTTGTAAAATGCAAACATGCAGCCCAATTTTTTTGCCCTTTGTATAACTAAAGATAATAAAACTAATGTGACATTTATGCTGCCTAAAGCAGTTAAAACTTCTTTACTTACAAGCATTTGAAAGATAAGAGAGTTTACTGTCTGACCACTGCTAAGTAAGCAATTCTCCAGATGTCACATTAGAAACTGGAAATATCCATCTGGGAAGCAGATTACCTTTCTATAGTAATATAGGAATGAATAATCCATCATCTCCATATAAACCATCCTAATTTTCAGTGATTGGGAGAACTTGAAATGTTTAATATTCATGCATTTATTTGCAAAAAGATTTTAATGAGCACCTACTATAAGCCACGTGATACAGATACTGGGAATACACTAGTGAACAAAACATATAAATGAACAAAAATCTCTGCCCCCATGGAGCTTACATTTAAGTAAGGAGATAGAGACATAAATACGTATGTAAGTAAAGTATGTGGTATCTTAGAAGGCTTTAAAGTTTAAAGGAAAAAATTAGAACAGAATCCGGGGGTTTGGGAAAGTTGAGTGGGAGCACAATTGTGAATAGAGTGGTCAGGGTACGCCTGGCTGTGAAGGGGCATTTGAACAAAATGTTAAAGGACGTGAGAGAGTGAGTTGGTACACATTTTGGGGGGCAGAGCAAATGAAGCAGAGGGAATGGCCAGTGTGAAGGTCCTGAGGCCAGAGCAGGCCCGGCCTCTCCAGGAAAGAGGAAGGGGTGGGCGTGGCTGGAGAGGGGAGAGCAACGCTAAGACAAGTAGGAAGAAAGGCCCCAACCCTGTATGGCCTCGGCTTATAATCTGAATAAAATGGGGTCACTCGAAAGCCTTGAGCAGAAGAATGGCTTAATCTGGGTTTGGAAAGGATCGCTCTGATGGAGCTGAAATTCACCTATGAAGAATGGAAGCAAGGAGACCAGTTGGGTAGCCATTCTAATAAGCAAGACAAGAGACAAGGTGGCTCGGATCAGGGCAGGAGTAACGGGAGACACTAAACTAGAGCCAGGAGATTTGTTGATAGACCAGATGTGGATGAAAGAAAGAGGAAGCAATGAGTCCGGGGTTTGGCCTGAGCCACTGGAAGGATGGAATTGCCATTAACTGAAGTAGAAAGGACTGTAGGCAGAGCAGACTTGGGAGGCAACTTGGGTGTTCCGGGCTGGACATATTGCTTTGAGATAGATATTGGTCATCCAAGTAGAGGTGTCAGAGAACGGCTGGATGGGGGAGCAGGTTTACGAGGAAGGGCCTGGGCTGGGTTTGTACATTTAGAAGTCAGCAGCAGAAATTTGTTTTCAAAGCTCAGATGAGATCACTGCATGAGTACGTGTGAACGGGAACTAGAAGAGTTCCAAGGACACAGGTCCAGGAAAGAAAAGGAGCCAGCAGAAGAGAGCAAAACAGGAGAGAAAAAACAGGAAAGTACAGTGTCCTAGAAGCCAAGGGCAAACTTTCAGGGAGGAAGGAGTGACCCCTGCATCAGATGCAGCAGGTGGGTCAGGAGAGATCAGTTACACGTGGACATCAGTGTCCTTGACAAGAGCAGTTTCGCTGAAGTGGAGAGGCAGAAACTGGACTGAAATGGGTTTAGAGAGAGAATAGGAAGAGACAAGTTATTTGAGTGACTTTTTTAGAGAGCTCTCTTAAGAGGTTTTACTATAAAGGAAGGAGTAATAGAACTGGAAGAAGGATGGATTGGTTTTGTTTTTAGAATAAATAGCCTGTTTTTACATGAATGGGGATGACTCCACAGAGAGGGGAAAGCTGATGATGTAGACAAAATGGGAGAGGTGCTGGAGCTTATATCCATGAGTGGGTGTGAGGGGTCAGAATCTAGTGCGCAGGAGGAAGGGATCATTAAGGAGAAGCATGGAAAGTTCGTCTGTGGCAACCGACAGGAAGGAAGGTACATGAACGCAGAGGCTGGGGGCAGGTGGGGGAGGTAGAAGTTTATAGAAATTTTTCTTGTTTCCTTCAGTTTTCTCAAGGTCCTCAGCTAAGCATGGGGATGGGTGAAGAGGTGTTGGGAGTTTGGGAGGACAGGGGAAGACGAGAAGTAGGGAGCTAGGAGACCAGGGACCAGGTGATAGAAGGATTCAGAGAAGCATTAAGGACTCACTTGAGGGATGAGTTCACCAGTGACCAAGAAGGGAGTGGAGTATTTAAAGTATGGCAGTGGAGTCTGACAGGGCAGAAAGGAAGGGTGCCAAGGAGAAGCGACACACGCAAAAACGTTTTGCAGGATTGTAGGAACTGGGTTATGGGAGGAGTGAGCTTGATAGAGGAGTGCTGGTCTGAAGGGGGTTGCAAGGAGATGGGATGGTGGGGTGTCTGTCTAGGGTAAGAGAAGTCCGAGGTGTAGCTGGGAGAGTGAGGTGGGCGGGAGGACAGGGTCGGGGCAGGGAGGTCAGGGAGCTGGGGCAGGCTTGGAAGGATCCGTGTTTGTTGCAGTCAGCAAGAATTCAGGCAGGAGATGCGTTAGAGACAGAATCAGTGAAGCAGGAACCAGAATCATTAAGAAATGAGGCAGGTAGCAAGGCACAAAATGTGAGCTGATTTCTCCGCTAGCTGTGAAAAGTTTCCAGATGACTTAAGAATCTTCCTGATGGCTCAGGCAAGCTGTAGAAATATCAAATTCACGCACTTGATAAAGAAACCATGTTTTTTTCTTCATCAGTCTTTCCGTCTTTCATTGATGATCAATCCTTCAGTGACAATTAGGAATTGAAACAGTAGTCTACGTAACTGTTCGTTTTATTTGTACCTAAAGATTCAAATAAAAAATCAGAAGAAGGTTCTCTAAGTGTAATACTACTGGGTATGCAAAAACATACTTTTTACGTGTTTATTCCTCAAGTGCTTTATATAATTTCTTTGTAGAAAATAATTTCTTCTCCAAATATCATTTGAAAACATTACTGTAGATAGATGGATCAAAGCATATGCACAAGAAAGTTTCGATCATTGACTTCAAACTCCCTTCTCTTGGTTTATGTTTCTTCTAACAGAGATTTAGTTCGTTGTCATACAAGTCCCGGGAAGAAGACCCAACTCTCACAGAAGAAGAGGTGAGTTTTGTTAGTTTTTATTTTATTTTATTTTTTTGCCGTACGCGGGCCTCTCACTGTTGTGGCCTCTCCCGTTGCGGAGCACAGGCTCCGGTCGCGCAGGCTCAGCGGCCATGGCTCACGGGCCCAGCCGCTCCGCGGCACGTGGGATCCTCCCGGACCGGGGCACGAACCCTTGTCCGCTGCATCGGCAGGCAGACTCTCAACCACTGCGCCACCAGGGAAGCCCTGTTAGTTTTTAAATAACCAGAAAGCTCATGTAATAGAGAATAGCACCTCCTTCCTTGAGTAAATGCACTGTCATGTTACCCTTCGTCATAGAAAGCTAAAGTACACTCTTAAGCATATGGTTGGAGATCAGGGTTTGGGGATGTTGGCTTTATAATGGCTCAGAGAGAGTGACTGGCAGATGGTAAGACAAAAAAAAGAGGACAAGATGCACAGGTCAGCTAAGTAAAGAAAACTCAGTAGGGAGGAAGGAGCGGACAAAAATAGAAAGGGGAGGGGAGAAAAGAGGACTGAGAAGAGAGAAATGGTAAGTGTGGGAGCCTTAATCAGTCAGGTAGTCCCCTTTAGAAGGAAGTTAATAGTGGGTTGGAAAATACAGGAAATTGGAGCAGGTGGGTGTGGAGAATTTGCTCCAGGCTGGGGAGACAGAGGGAGAAGGGCTTAGGAATTTGGGAGGCTGAGAGCAGGGAACTTCAGGAAGTACACGTCCAGCTTGAAAGTAGAGTCAGACATGGCCACCAGCAAGAAAGGATGATATATTCTCCCAAGCACCAGGACTGAAGATTCACTGGTTAAACGCTCAGTGAGCATTAAAACTGTAAAAACCACTATTTATTGTGTTATGTCAAGCTAGACTCAGAGAGAGCTGAACACCTTAATTTATCTAGCTACATAGAGCCTCTTTCTGGAGTGCCTAGCTTAGTAAATTTTGTACATGTACAAAAGTAATGTACATATGCTGGTACATCACCTCCCATATAGGACTCTGAGTATTAAAATATGAAACTAGGGCTTCCCTGGTGGCGCGGTGGTTGAGAGTCCGCCTGCCGATGCAGGGGACACGGGTTTGTGCCCCGGTCCGGGAAGATCCCACGTGCCGCGGAGCAGCTGGGCCCGTGGACCATGGCCGCTGAGCCTGCGCGTCCAGAGCCAGTGCTCCGCAACGGGAGAGGCCACAACAGTGAGAGGCCCGCGTACCACAAAAAAAAAAAAAAAAGAAGCTAGATTACAATCCCACATTGAAAGTTGAAGGAGCAGAAGTGCGTTCCTTAGGTGATGTTGCCCAACCCCCTCCACGTTTCCTGCTCCACGGAAGGGACCTGCCATCTATCCACCTGGTTGCACAAGCCAAAACCCTGGGGTCCTCCTTAACACCCCCATTTTCCTCACTGTCCTCAGATGCAGTCAGGAACAAGTTCCTTCAGTTTTACCTCCAAAGTAACTTTCATGCATCCCCCGACCCCTCACCATCTCCACTGGGCCCTCCTCCCCTCATGAGACTAAGGCAGGACCCTCCTACCAGGGCCTGTGGCAGCTCCTTTGCCACCACCAGCGTTTTTCACTGTCCCGGAGCCATCCCATTTGGTATAAGAAATATGGGAATTCCCTGGTGGTCCAGTGGTTAGGACTCTGTGCTTTCACTGCCGAAGGTGCAGGTTCAATCCCTGATCAGGGAACTAAGACCCCACAAGCCATGCGGCCAAAAAAACAAGGGGGGAAAGAAAACAGAATATAAAAGATCTGGAAACTAATCCTTTAAAATAAATTGAGGCAGTAAAATTTTAAGTTACTTTTCTTCTTATCTTACATTTGTTTGTGGCTTTTGAAAATAGGACCTGGTTATACTGATGAATGTTTAACATAGAATAAAGAACTGTGATTCCTGTATATTCATTTTAGGAAGAAGATATAGAAAAAATAAATATGGAAATCATTTATTTTTATATTCATGTAATATAATGTCAGACAGTCCAGACTGAAACTGAGACCTGAATTTTAAGTACTATTATCCCAATTTAACGGAATGACGGGGGAAGGGTTGAATATAAAAAGGAGAGAAATGGGGAAAATGGAGTAATTTATGAGAACATAATAACAATTTACAGACCGAATAATAATGATGAAAGATTTTAAAGAGAAAAATGGCAAAGCTAAATAGCAAGGGGGCTTGAAGAGAAACCTTTTATTTATATACAAAATAAAAATAATAGTCATAGGAGACAAATATTCAAAAGGAATATTAGAAGACTTGAGAAACGTTGATAAGAGTTCAAATTTCAAATGACACCCTCTGCACATTTGGTTCATGCTCGCAGATAATATTAAGTTGTAAGTTAATGAAAGAGCCTATAATTTTAAAAAAAAGACTATAAGGCCCAAGAAAACCCAAGTACTTACAAAGAGTGGGGGGCATTAATGGCAGGGACCGTGGGGAAGAAAGTAGGGAAGAGAAATAGAAATGGTGGTGAGGGGTCAGCTCTCATTACTCTCACAGGTAAAGGTGTGTTTGTCCTCCTGATGTTACCCCTGAAGGTGAGGAATAAATATCTAGGATGCTGGTTCCCTTCATCACTGTCATCCATGACTTACCCCTTTATAATCTGTCCACATTTTTGGCTTGGACCTCCTTATAAATAAAAAGTTCCATATGTTTGCACCTCCCTATGAAAAGCAGAGGATTTTTTTTTTTTAATTCTTCCTAAATGGAAAGAAATTCCATTTTGAGAGTAGTATTTTCACTAAAACCTCTAAGGTGAGAATGTTAATTTAACAGTCCTGAAAATAGTCAGACCAACAGGGCAAGAGTTTCCCAAAGATTATTTCTCTGACTCAAAACCTTTGGCTTGTCAAGGCCTGGCAAATCTGAGCCACCAGCCTGTAGTGAAAAGTCCTCATGCAAATGACCAGTTAACATGCGGCAGGCGTGTCTTAAGAAGCTTTGGAGGCCAGCTGGAAGCTTCCTGCACAGTATGTGAGATGTGTGAGAACAGGACATCTCTCCCTGTACTTGCAAAGCCAAGCATCTGTCAGGAAGTATGTTCATTTATTTCCTGGGTGTTTGAATAAATCAATCACCGTGGCAAAGATAAATACAGGTAATGAAGGATATTCTTACCTATTTCCAAACATGATTTCTAACAATAAAACAATACCTCCCAGATCTCTTCATCAGTCCATTTACTCTATCATCCATTTTTCTATCCAAGAAAATGAAATCTCTCCCGATATGTGTGGCTACATGAGGTACATTAGTGAGACTGAGTAGGTGTGCTTGGAAAATAGGCTGCTCTTCCCATAGGAAAGAACATCCCATAAGTTGATTGTCTCCTAGTTTTATCTCTGAGTTGGCTGGTTTCAAATAAGAATGAGTTTTCCCACTGAAGAAAATGTAGCCCCGTCTGTAAATGTATATTTAACCAGTAGTATGCAGTGAAGTAAAAAAAAAAGTGGAAAATGATGCTCTGATAGATATAGGTATATGACCAACCAGAATCCAGGAACTACTCTTCAGATCTTTGTGATGCAGGAAGAGTGGATCAAACAATCTAGTTCAGTGGTTCTCACACTTTAGTGGACATCAGAATCAGCCCATCTGGGACCCCCCCCCCCACCAGAGTTTGTGACTCAGTGGTTCTGGGGTGGTGCCCCAGAGTTTGCCTTTCCAATAAATGTCCAGATCCTGCTGCTGCTGGTTTGAATCGCACCCTTTTGAGAATCACTGGTCTAATGCTTTTTTTTTTTTTTTTACCCTTTTTTGTAAAGCAGTCAAACCTTTTTGCAGGTGAAATATCATTCTGATAAAGAAACCGAATAAAACCTGATCTGTCGTCAGGTCCTGGGGGGCTTGAGGCTGCCCACCCCACCTGCTCTCCTCAAACCCCTCAGGAGACCCAGAGAGGACCTGGTTTTTATAGAATTATGGTACTTACAAAGTTGTAGATGACACATGTAATTGTCCTGGAGTTACGTACTCCAGGATTAGTACAGATAATGAAGAACCCATTTCTGGGTATATAGTCAAAGGAAGTGAAACCACTGTCTTGAAGAGATATCTGTACACCCATGTTCATTGCAGCATTATTCACGATAGCCACGTGTCCATCAATGGGTAAATGGATAAAGAAGATGTAATTTTATACACACACACACACACACACACACACACACGTACGTATGTACATAATGGAATAGTATTCAGCCGTAAAGAAGAAGAAAATCCTGCCATTTGCAGCAACGTAGATGGACTTGGAGGGCATTATGCTAAGTCATGTAAGTCAGACAGAGAAAGACAAATACTGTATGTTCTCACATATATGTGGAATCTAAAAAAGCCAAACTCATAGACATAGAGTAGAATGGTGGTTGCCACAGGCTGGGGACTGGGGGAAATGGGGAGATGTTAGTCAAAGGGTCAAAATTCCATCTGTAATAAGTTCTGGGAATATAATGTACAGCATGGTGACTAGAATTAACAATACTGTATTATATACTTGAAAGTTGTTAAGAGAATAGAACTTAAATGTTATCACTACACACCAAAAAAACGGCAATTACGGTAATGGAGTTGTTAACTCACCTTATTGTGGTAATCATTTCACAACATGTGTATCAAATCATCCTATTGCACACCCTAAACTTATATGTGTTGTGCGTCAGTAATATCTCAATAAAGTCTTAAAGGGACACACACACACACACACACACACACACACACACACACACACATTGTCCTAAAAATCTAGCTTATCACTAAAAAGGGGGAGGGAGAAATCAAGCTTGAAGCTTGTTTATTCACTTCACCCTTTGTTTCCTAGATCTCGGCAATGTATTCATCAGTACATAAAAAAGGACAGCCAGGGAACAAATCAGGACAGTCACTTACAGTACCAGAGTCCACCTGTACCTCCATCCAAGGAGCCGCTCCGAGGTCGCCCTCTTCCTGTAACGATCTCTATGCTACTCTTAAAGACTTGGAGAAAATTCCCAACAGTGTCAGCACTCTTCCAGCAGCAGGGAGGCCCAGCGGCGAGGAGCCCGAACCAGATTACGAAGCAATACAGACTCTGAACAGAGAGGAAGAGAAGGCTGCCCCGGAGACCAACAGCCACCACGGCCTTTTCCCAAAGGAGAATGACTACGAGAGCATCGGGGACCTGCAGCAATGCCGAGACATCACCAGGCTCTAGCAGCCCGGAAGACAACCCAGCTAGCATAGGACCAGCCGGCAGGGCCAGTGCTGTTGCAGAACACAAGAGGCAGTGTCAGCCACACTGCGTATGCTGCTTTCGGAAAAGGAAGATGACTGGAGATGCCGAAACCGCTTCTCAGTTTGGAGAACAGTGAGGTACACACCCTACTGCCAGGGCACTGGCACACCCAAGCACACCTCCCTCATGTACCCACACCCTCTGGAAGGATCCCAGCTGTCAGTGGTCTCACCCTCTTTGTGAAGAAAGCCACACAGTAAGGAAGAAAAGCACTCATCCGAAACCACCACTCACCTGCCTGAAACACTGCCACTCCCAGGGGCTGGGTTTCTCTCCCTCTCTCCCCTTTCTGCTGCCTGCTACTAATGGTAAAATGAATGGCTTTTTTCCCCTTGAAATCTTCCGATTTATAATCGTTCATTCCAAGGATATTCTCCCACCAGCCTGGCCTTTGCCTTCAACGTGGGTGTTTTTCGACGGTAAGAAATTGTGGTTGCTGCTTCCCTACCGCTCCCCAGTCCCCTTCAAGCAGCTGCCCCTGGGAACCGGGCCCGGCCAGTGGATAGGATTGGAGATGCCCCTTGAGCTTCTTAGCTCTTCATTCCTTCTGATTCGGGCAGTCCATATCAGCAGCCTCTCCCAAAGTACTTGAAGTCATTGTTAGATGCTTTATTTTATTTTTATAGTCAAAATGGTTTTTCCCCAGTATTTGAAACTCTTCAGAGCCTTCAATGAATATCGTGGTACTTCCAAACTTCTTTTAGCCCAGAGCTCATTCCTCCAAAACAGAGAGCCTTAATCTCTATGTTGGGACACAGACCACATGTTTGGCTGGCAGCCACGGCTTCCATTTCCCAAGGGCTGTGAACTTGAATGTGTATTTCTGATGACCCCCGCCGCCACACCAGCCATGCGGGATTTCATACATGAACTGCTCCCCTAAGGTAATCTATCTGAGATTAAAATATAGACATTTATTTTTGTTATATAAATTTATAAGGTATTTTATGTTTAATGCCTAATTTCTAGAAAGTGCCAGATAAAATGTATATTAACTATTTTGATTTGATGTACAATGATTTGTATTCTCATTTTGAAAAGACAGCATAAAGCACATAAGCTGGATAATTATGAGTAGTTGTTACCTTTTTTCTAACCAAGTGTTGAAAACACTGAAGGTTTTTAAAGACTTGCCTTTTCAAATGGTACTTGGAGCTCCTGGTCAAATCATCTGGCTCACTGGAGAAATAAGTGGAATAAACATAAATGATCATTTTCAATGGTTTGTGGTGGGAAGTGCTGAAATATTTGACATGGTAAAAATGGAAGGAGGAACAAGATATGACTAGGGATGACTGTGAACAATTAACCTCAAGAAGGTATTATAGGGCTTCCCTGGTGGCGCAGTGCTTGAGGGTCCGCCTGCCGATGCAGGAGACGCGGGTTCGTGCCCCGTTTCGGGAGGATCCCACATGCCGCGGAGCGGCTGGGCCCGTGGGCCATGGCCGCTGAGCCTGCGCGTCCGGAGCCTGTGCTCCGCAAATGGGAGAGGCCACAGCAGTGAGAGGCCCGCATAACGCAAGAAAAAAAAAAAAAAAAAAAAAAGAAGGTATTATAATTTCATTAAGTTTTAGCTACTTTTTTAAGAAAAAGGTGATGAATTCTGCAGCCTGGTGCTTGCAAATGTAAATTGCCTATTGGGACTTTTTTTCCCCCTTCATTTTACAAAAATCAGTTTCTGAAATAACTCAGATTGAGAGCTCAGCCTGGTTTGAATTTAATCATCTCTCTAGATTTTATAAGGCCAACATTGGGAAGCTTGTTCACTTTTCATTTTAAAATGAACCTGGTTGAAGTGCTATTATGCAGTGTGGGCTACAGAAAAGGAGCTTTTCCTACACTGCTAAAGAAAAATAAAAAGAGGCAATTATTCTGTACTGCTGTGACATCTGTGACTTTTCAGATTGAATAATCTTGCTGTTTTCACTCATTATGATAAAGAATGCAATTGGGAGGATGAAGCATCTTGAAAATTGTAGGGACCAGCTCCCGGGCATGTTTTTTTCCATTCCTTGCATTCATGGCTTGATTTTGTGACTGCTCTGTAATATGTTTCTGAAATTGTAAAGTAGCTAGGTTGGGGTAAATTGGTTGGTTGTCGTTATTTTTCAGTCAGCCTGGTCTCTCCCATGAAGACTTCATGTGTATAAGCACAATTATCATTGATCAAAAGATCATGGCAGAATAACCTTGGATTAGGGAGAAGTTTATCAGGAAGGCGCAAGGCCCCATGCTCTCTGAATTCACGTCCTTTGTGAGCACTGGTTCGCCCAGCGAGTCTCATTGCTTAGTATGAATGAGTTTGACCCGACAATCTTGACTTTGTGGGGTTGCTTTGTACCTGGTGACAGCCATGTCACACTGCACACCTAGCATTGTGCATGCTGCAGGCTTGTCCCTTATGAGCCCCTGACTGCTCAAAAGTTGTAATTCATGATGTCTTACTTATTGCCAGGGTAGTGGGTATGATCTCTAAAGGGTAAAACCATTTCTAGGTAGAGAAGCTCTTTATAAATAGTCGTATCATCTTGAAATTTCATTATCAGAATTCCCCCAGAAGTTTCAAAACCAAGGCTATGCCTTATGGCCATAAAGTATGCAGTGAAATATCTCTCTTGACTTGAAAACCTGTGCTAAGAGTAAGTTGTGATGTAAAGTATTGAAAGGAACTCTAAGGCCCTCCAGAACAAATCCTAAAAGAATAAGTGACAGCACAGTCCATGAGTGTGTGTGTGGGGGGGGGGGAGGAGCAGAATAAACTTCAAGAGATGGCTCTGCTCTTTAGAACACTGGGTAACTTACTGAGGTATACTTTTTGATGTAGCATCACTATTTGGACCCTAAAGTACAGTATTTCATAAACTTCATCACTTTTTACTTTATTTGTTGAAAGTTTGTGCTAGAATCTTTGAGTTGGAAGCCTATGGCTTCTTTTAAAAAACATTTCATCCTGAATTAAATGCTACATAGTTTAAATATATGAAAGGATATTATTAAAAAAAAGTTTACTATATCTTTAAAATGTTGACACCCATATTATGTATGCATTCAACTATAATAACCTAGGTAGGTGAAATTTATACAAAAAGATAAAAATAAGTTTAGGAAATTTTTTTCATCTTAGAATTATAAACCTATGTTGCCTAAAAGTAGGATCTTTGTTTTTATTCAGATATTTTGAAAGTTTTGAAGAATTTTGTTGCCCTGCTTTTACTATTTCTCAAATATTGTCAGCAGGGAAGTGTAACCTGTTTTATATGAAATGTTTGAGGAAATTTTAAATTCTAGAAGAAAGTAATTTTTGAAAATATGTTTGCCACAAATTTTTTTTTCTTGCCCTGCATTAAATTACATCATTAGGGCTATTAAAGCTTTTAAGGGTACCACTCTTTGTGGGAAAAAGGCTAATTACTGATTTCTCTGCCCTTAACATCCAAGAGTTAATTCTAATTGAGTGCTAAATTAACAATAAGTAAACACAAAGAGCTGAAATTTAACCTCAGCATGTCACTAGATCTGTTTCTCATATCTGATTTTCATTTTTCGAATTAGAGCATTTACTTACTTTTACCAGTAACTATATAAAAAAAAAATATATATATATATATATATGTTGTATATATATGATACACACACACATCCATATATACACACGTATATATATAAGGTCGCTCTGGTGCTTAATTAATTAGGATACATCCTGTCATTTATTTTGAGTGTTTATCCTACTAATGTAATGACTATTGTCATAAAAGCAGAATAGAAGAAACAGTTCTCCAATCATTTTCATTTGTAATTACAGGAAAACCGTCTTAAGTTGCCCTCATTGAATTTTTCTAGTTAATGGATTCAGATTTTAAATTAGGTCCATCATTCTCTTAGCTGAAAAACAGTGGTACGTTTAAATAGTTTTATTCATGCAACTCCCTACGTATTCAACCTGACAAAAGGGAATAAAAATAGGTGTCCTCTTCAGACAGACGTCTGAAGACAGATTTGGCCGAAGGCAACAAGAGTCCCGTGAGCCAGGATGGTGCCATGGCCAGGTAACCTGCCCACCAGGGGGCAGAAGCAGGGACCCGTTATTACATGAGGGCATTTTATTTCACTGTCTTCAAAAACCATGAGATTTTAGCACAGAATCAACAGGCAGTGGTGGAGGATGCTGTGCAGAGGAGCCACTCTGAGATGGTGATGTAACATGGCTAGAATCCCAGAGCCTCAGTTCAAGACTGACTTAGGATTTTGTAAATGCTCCTTGTAATAGTTGCCATGAGTCCATGTGTTCTAGTGATGCCATTCTTCTGAAAGTGTTGATTTCTGGTACCCAGCTAGCTTAGCTTTGGCTGTGGGAAGCACAGTAGGTACCCATGGTTATTTCCTGGAAATCTTGACAGGCTTATTGTACTGTGTAACTGGGAAAAGTTAAAGTGTAATGTTTAGTGTTAATACGTGACTGATGTGAAAGTAGGAACATGTGTCTATAAGATCAAATATGGCTTTATTTGCAGTGAAGTCTAAATTTCTTGTCCTGTAGTAGTATTTTCTTGCTCTGTGTTGTACCTTTTCTTAAATACATTATTCCTGACAGTATCATTAGATGAGTTGTATACACTTAGAAAGTGTTTGACTAGAAGAGATCAGTCCAGAAACTGTGTGAAATTAGAGTCTTCATCTGGAATCACCATAGTAAATTAAATAAAATCATGGTCCAGAAGAGAACAAACATTCATAAAGGGTTTTTTTTTTTCCTACTGCTCATTTTAAAGTTGTATTTACATCCAGTCTCTGATATTTATAAAGTATTTCATTGTTTTCCCAGGTTCTTCTTTTATTTAACTAGGAAATAGTAGTTCAAGATGTTTCTTAATGCCAGATGAAATGAGAAATACAATTTTTACTTAAAAAAGGCAATTTTT